CAACTATAGTAGTAAAAAAAAAAAAAAAAAAAAAAAGAAGCAGGTAAAAGCATAACATACCTGGGCAATGAAGACAATGAAGATGATGAATAGGCCGATCCACGATCCATATACTCCAGAACAGGCCTTGAAGGGAATCTCGTCAAGAGACCGGCCTCGAAGTGCCCATGCGGCTCGGAAGCGAATGTGCGAATAACATATCTACTCCAGTCAGCCTAGCAGCTCTTTTAGACAGAAAAAAAGGATTCAGAGCACTAGAATGGGGGTTGAGGTTAGTCAACTCACACTTCCCCAGGTGAACAGGGCAGTCAAGCCAGATAGAGCTTGCAACCAATCAAATATGACTGGTCCCTTCCCAGAAACATTCACGTACGCCAGCCCCCCAAAGACAATGACCAATATGGTGGAGAAAAGCGGCCTGCCCGCTTTGTCGACGTATGAGAATATACGGGGTGCATACCCGTGCTCGGAGATGGCTGTCAAAGTTCGAGATCCGGCGTACACGGCAGAGTTTCCAATAGAGAGGACTGAGATAAGGATGATGACGTTAATGAAACTGTCGAAGCCGTACAACCCTGCATCCTTAGCAGCAATCACAAATGGCGAGGCATTAGAATCCGAGTAGGTGTTGGCGCCAAGTAGCCGTTTATCGTCGCTCCGCACCAACAGGCCAACGAAGAAGAGGCCCAGGATATAGAAGAGGATGATTCGCCAGAAGACTTGCTTGATGGCGGACGGGAGAGATTGGAGAGGCGTTCTACTTTCCGCTGCTGCCAGCCCAACTAGTTCCGTGCCAAAGAAGGCAAAGGCAGCCGTCACAAATACGGAACAAAATCCTATTCATCAGTCAGTATATAGCCTCAACATATTTGGAGCAATGGTCTGTCTCTTGTAGAGTTCAGACATGAGCACATTTTATTGTCTGGCAGTGAAAGAACGACATACCCTTGAAGCCGTTGCGGAAGGCCCCTGGATCATACCAAAGCCTTGCACCCCAGTACTGCCCGTAGAGGCCGTCCTTTGGGCCGCCTCCACACGCGAGCACAATGGCGGTTATCATGAAGATGACAATGGCGGTGAGTTTGATCGCACTGGCCCAGAATTCCTCCTCTCCGTATCCGAGCACCCCAAAGATATTGATGATCACAATGGCGATCAAGAAAACTGTTATCCATACCGCGACACTGACATCTACTTTCCAGTACGTTATCGTGAGGGAGGTCACGGTTAGTTCTAGCGGCAGGACCACAAGCCATTGAAACACATAGTTCCAGCCCATCGCAAATCCCCACGCTGGAGAAATGAAGCGGGCAGAGTAAGTATAGAATCCACCAGAGACCGGGAAGAGAATGGCTAGTTCGCCCAACGCATGCACGACATTGAACATCATCTATTTATATCCATGTTAGCTTTCTCCTGAAACCCTGGGGCTCTTACTTAACCACAGACTACATACCACGCCGATGATTGCAAAGTCAAGGACCAACGACGCAGGACCACCCTTTGCCAGCGCAGAGCCTGAACCGACAAATAGACCTGCACCTATGCTTCCGCCGATTGCGATCATATGCAGATGTCGCGACTTGAGAGTCTGGTTGAGCTGATTTCCACCAGTCAATCGCCGTCTCTTGAACGACTCCGGTGTGCATCCCAAACGAGTCCAGAAACCAAGCTCTTCGCCTTTCTCTTCCAACGCCATGTCAGAGCCAGAGGAAGCAAATTTTTGCACCCCCGGGCTCGACTCCTCCATGGAAACGCCTTCCACCTTTTCTGTCGCCATGCTGGATGTGTAGGGGTCAATGGCCAACCTGGCTTATAGATATCCAGCAGCTGCTCGACGACCAACGGGCAACTCGTCTTGGGAAGCCACAACGTGAGCTTTTTCAAGAGGAAAAGGGGGAAAAGCTCTGGAAGAATAATTGAATCCCTAGAAGTGTGGGGAGGGGAACCAGAGCCCTTTTAAATTCGCCTCTGCGCCCTTGACTCTGTACCCGCACCGGACAAACGCACACGAGGAATATGGGGAAATTGGACGTACACTCGGCTAAAGTCAGGTCCAAACCCCAGAAATGGACTGAAACGATCTCGGCCTTATCATGCAATTATATTAATTAGTTCGTGTGTGGGGATGGGAGGATTCTGGGCACTGTTTGCCATCCCTTCTCTTCTCTTGTGCAGAATGCGGAATGACAATTCACGTAACTACGTCACTGGGTGCTGATTCTTGGTACCTGGTTCGCGGGAATGCTACTCGTTTAGATTTCTTCTGCCACCCAGACACCCATTTCAAACTTGTGTATTCCAGCATCGTGGAACTGCGTCTCTCTTCTCCAGGCAAAACATCTGTCCGGCGATATCTTCTCGGCGCTTTGAAAATTGATCAATAATTGATTGAACCTGCGGGCGAAGTTGATAGTTAGTTAGGGAAAACTCTATTTTTCCTCTAGAAAACTTTAAAGTTCCTCGGGTATTTTTCGACGACCTTTCCTTTTCGGGAAGATCCTTGAATTGTTGATATTTCATTCGCAATGTCAACAACTGGAGAACCTCAGAGTGTTCACCGAAGATGTGGCTCTAGCCTGTGAATATATGGCTTGTGAGTCAAGCAAAACTCGGTTTCTTGGTGGGTATTCGGACTTGCTCACACGGCTGATGTCCGTACGGAGTTCACTAGGTAACTAGTTAGTCGGACAACCGGGTCATGGTTGGACAGCCGAGAAAAGCAATTCTAACGGCACTCCCATGAACGACTTCGCAGCAGGCTGTAACATGCCATCACAATAATGGCTGCTCCGTATTGGTCTGGAGCCGAAGTTGGAGATGTGAACATCATACGAGTCATCCTTTGCTCTCTTCAAAGGGGCTAATGCCGGCTATCTCGAAGGGCGGAAAGCTGCTCCACTTGCCAAGGTGGAATTTGACGATGGATGACAAAAGACTGGCTCACATTTTCAGTTATTATTATTACTTTAACAGGTGGCACACTATGGTAGTTTGGCAGGTCGTGTCCAAGGGTGCCACAATAACAGGAAAAAGGTCGATAGGTAGGTTAACAAGCTGGTTATTTAAAGGATTGCCTTGTGCGGGTACTTCCGCTCCCCATGGAGAATCTCCAGTTAGAACTCTGTACGTAGCTCTACCATGAGGAATCATTTATTCCCTTCGGAGGAATAGAGGATCTCTGCGCTCTTGGTACGGCCAAGTGCCTGATGGCAAGAGGCCATGAGCCGTAGTTCTTGGGCTTTCTTGGAACCGCCTGCAGAATAGCAAGTTGGTGAGTCATGGAAGCCAGCGGTGTGAAAGATGAAGTATTTAAAGCCTGGTAGTTTTCTCCAAATGAGTCCGTATTCACCGCGTTTACTTTGTGTAGGATGGCGTAGCTGGTACAAACCATGTCTTCCACATGGCCCAGGCCTGCACAGTGCATGCTAGTAGCCGCCTCTCACACGGGTGACTTGGGAGGACAAGCCACACGGATGTCGTTCCTTTGATGTCAACCAATCCGGGTCTTTCACCCCGGCCACCAACAAAACAGCAATGATGATCTACCTCATCACCGAAGTAATGACGGTATCGCCAGCGACGCATTCCTCCTCCTTTCAATTAGTTAGTTATACCCTTCAGTGTCTCTTCATCGTTTTATACATGTCGAGCTGCACCTTGGTTTCATCCTGGTGAAGAATCCTTGCCCTAAGATCGACTGGCGTCTTGGCAACATAGGCCCCTTAACTCACGTTGTTTGCCACAAAGGGCGGTTTTTTCACTTCTCGCTGTGTCTTTCGCGATGGTTGCGATGAAACAGCAAACAACATGAAGATAAACGCGTCCTTTGTTTCTCCTAGATCCCTTTTCTAATCCGGTCGGCTCTGCAGAGTTTTATTCCTATTTTCCGCCCGCCTGCTGCTGGAAAGAATTATACCACGGTACTTTCCGCGCAGTAGCTTTGATACCGCGAATGGGCAAAAGTTTCCGTGGATTTGATATGATGAAGTGTGTCTGGCTGCTGAAATATAATAAATCCCCTTAAGTTTTGCTCTGCTTGATATGATGGCTGGTGAACTTGTGTCTTTTTCCTTTGGGCAGGTTACATTTTAATAAAGCTATCGCCGGCACTGAGACTCGCCTTTTCAGCCAGATCCGGCTGGGGAAGGTTGCTGTTATAGTATAAATATTGAGCTGAATCGAAGGATCTTTGTCTTGGACTGGAGCCAACCTCAACAAAGGCTTAGCAGGCGTGTAAGAGGGCTGCCTTCACTTGCCTGGCAGAGAGAGACAAGCATATAAAATATCTGCAGTGCTTCGTCGTCCTGTTTCCATTCAATCAATTTTATACGCAGTGCCTGAGCTGTATCAGGGGACTCAGCTGGCTGTCATATGGACTCCGCGCAGAGCTTCACTCACTGAGACCGAGGTGATAGTTCCCTAGCAAGATGGGCACCGATACTGTAAGGCGTTTCTTTCTTTTTCTTTTCACCTTTTTTTCTGTTGCATTGATATATATTCTCAAATATATATCTGAATGTTTGTCAGTTGTTTGGCTTAAGCAAAGGGCCAAAATAACTGAACCGCTTACCTTCTGTTCCTATCCGCCTCCTGCGCGGTCTCTTCTCTCTATCTATCTACTCATAGACCATTACTCGCCTGGCTAATATAACTCTCTGTAACACTGTAGCTTTCTGGAGCGGTGGCGCCCGTGTCAGGGCCAACTGATATCCAGGTGAAGAAGACATCCTCAAAGCCGCCTAAGATCAAGGCAAAGAAGGACATCAAGCTTAAGACACCTTCAAAGGCTCCGCTGAAGACAGACATAGGCCCCTCGAAGGCTACCAAGGCAGTCAAAGTGGGAATGTTGAAGACAACAAGCAAGGAGAAGGAGAAGGAGAAGAAGCAGGCAAAGCTATCTACAACAACAGCAACGTCTCCACCTTTAGCCTCAACCTCAACTTCAACCTCCGCAACAACACCACAACCTCTACAGAACACCAACAACGACGCCCACCAGCCGAAACCAGGCTCATCAGACCTGCTGGATAAACAGGCCAAAGCAGTTCAGGCTCGTCTAAAAATGAACCATTACGCCAACCGAGCAAGGTGAGCTGCTTCTATGGCATCTCTGCTGATATCAAACAAAGCACGTCACCTTCTGCTCATTCACTCGCTAACCACCTTTCACTCCCTAGACATGTACCGGCTGGTCGAGGAGGTCCGATGAATTATCTAGGTCCCAATGGACGCGTTCCTGGTGCTTTTCCTCCTGGAATCTACACCCAGAGCCCGCATAAGCCATACCCAACGATGCTGGAACGCGTCAAGCCCTCCCATCTTGCTCCCCACTGGATCTCGTGGGAGTCTCTGGCGGTGACGGTATCAAATTTTTCCCCTAATGTGAATACCTATACCCTTTGGAAGTCGTTCAGTGCTTGTGGGACAGTAGACTTCATCGAGTTATTCGAAGATGTCAGAGGCAAGAGAGAGGGAAGGGGCCGGATTCGGTTTCGGTTAGTAAAAGGTGATCGTGACCAATTTCATTGACTAAACTAACATTGGGAAGACCACCGCCGAAAGAATCCTTCTGGTTAGATGGACGGCATGTATTAGAACTCGAAGATGGCCAGCGTATCATTATTTCAGTTCGTGTGGATACATTCAGACGCAGAAAGGAGGTCCCTAGTCCAGTGGACCCAAAAATCATGTATCCTCTATCTCTTGTAAGTGGCCTGTTTTTTTCCCTGCTCACCCAAATGGCACAGGGCTAACTGACAATCAAAAGGAAGCTGTGGGTAGATCACTGGACATCGGCTGTCTTTCTGGAGAGCAATCCATGATTATCATGAGAACCATTACTGCTAGCTTCCAGGAATATATCCGCTTTGTTGCTGACTTGCACCGCCGGGAGATCAATATTTTCTTCCAAATGGTAAAAACGGAAACACGATTGCCTCCTGCAATACCGCATACAGTCCATAGCTACCGCATTCGCATCCCCTTTGTTCATCTCTCGCGTATCAACCGCATATCAGAGAATGATGAGTTATCTTTCATCTTCTCGCTGGACTCTCCGCCTTCATATCACCGGAAATTGCAAGATCTGTCTAACACTTTTTCAGAAGCCGATAACATATGGCGTTCGGATGACACCTGGTACCGTCAAACTGATATTGTTCACAACCCACTAGACCTAGTTCATTCCAAGACTAGTCTTAAGAAGGCCCACCCTGTGATCAACATAGGTTCGTATTAAAGTGGTATCTGATTAACATTGATTGATATCCCTGCTAATAAATGTGCAATCAGGACGTTGGACAACCTTTCGAGTCACCTTCCACTTGCCTGATGCAGATAATACCCATAGCCTTGATACGCTTACGAAGATTCTAAAGGATTTTAATGTCGAAATCCAGAATATCAATAGCTTCACGTTGAAGAGACATCCTCCCACAGCAGACTTGGCGTGGAGATGGATAGACCCTCCTTCTACTCATGCTTCTAAACGCACATCATCCCTTGAGGATCTTGCAGAGAACGAGTACACACATATCTCTTATGCTGTGCGATATCAACTCGAAGTCTGCATTTCTCATGGGTTTCTAAGTGAATACACAATTGACAAGGATTTTGCCAAGAAGCTTGAATCTCTTGGGGAGCGTGATGGTAAGGATTTACTGGAATATGTTGCCCAAGAAAAGACCGTATATCATGACCCAATGGAGATCTTTAACATTCAGTTCTTCTCTGGTGTAACAAATCGGAGAATCCCAAAGTACTGCTGTTACATGCGCTCGGCAACCGTTACTCCCTCCACGATCTACTTCAATACCCCTACAGTTGATACCTCCAATCGGGTGATAAGACATTATATTGAATACGCAGACAGATTTCTTCGCGTCCGGTTCACTGATGAAAAGTATGAAGGAAGAATAAATTCAACCTACAACAACTGCATGGATGAAGTATTTACTCGCGTGAAGCGGACCATGACCAATGGAATTACCGTAGGAGATAGGCACTACGAATTCCTTGCATTTGGCAACTCGCAATTCCGAGAACATGGGGCATACTTTTTCGCATCTCTGCCTAACCTTACAGCTGCAAACATTCGTGCATGGATGGGTCATTTCAGTGACATCAAAATTGCTGCAAAGCATGCCGCTCGATTGGGTCAATGTTTTTCGACCACCAGAGCTGTCACTGGCTGTCCAGTAACCGTCAGAGAAATCGATGAGGTCGAGCGCAACGGATACATATTTTCTGATGGAGTTGGCCGGATCTCTAAATTTCTCGCACAAATGATTATGACCGAGTTTAAACTACAAACTCCTTCAGAAGAACCTCCATCTGTATTCCAGTTCCGGCTTGGTGGCTGTAAAGGAATTCTGACCGTCTCACCCGAGGCTCAGCGACGAGAAGTTCACATTAGAAAGAGTCAATACAAATTTGCCGCAATTCACAATGGTCTTGAGATTATCAGATGGTCTCAGTTTGCGGCGGCGCATCTTAATCGCCAGCTCATTGTGGTATTATCAGCCTTAGGTGTCAGTGATAATATTTTCATCGAGAAGTTGCGCTTGATGCTCGAGGATTTGGAGCAGGCGATGACAAGTGAGACAAAGGCGATGTCCATGCTTCAAAAGCGCGTTGATCCAAACCAAATGACGCTTCTACTCGCTCAAATGGTCCACGATGGATTTCAGGGCAGCTGCGATCCATTTGTTAAATCATTACTGGAGTTGTGGCGCGCATGGCAAATCAAATATCTGAAGGAGAAGGCAAAGGTTTTTATCGATCAAGGAGCCTGCTTGTTTGGCTGTCTGGATGAGACGGCGACGTTGAAAGGTTACTATGAGAAAAAGCGACCTTCGATCGAAGCCACTTACGAGGAAAGACTAGAATACCTTCCTGAAATTTTTGTTCAGGTGTTCGACAATGAAGAGGAGAAGAAGTACCGGGTAATTGAAGGCCCTTGTATTCTGGCGAGGAACCCTTCATTGCATCCTGGAGATATCCGTGTGGTGAGAGCTGTCAATGTTCCAGCACTTCATCACCTGAAGGACGTCATTGTCTTCCCCCAAACTGGGGATCGAGATGTTCCAAGTACATGCTCTGGAGGCGATCTAGACGGCGATGACTACATTGTCATCTGGGATCAAGATCTCGTCCCACTTTCCAAAGATTGGTTTCGTGAGCCAATGGACTATACCGCTTCGAACGCCCAAAGCCTCACTCGTGATGTTACTGTAAATGACATTACGTCGTTCTTCGTTACTTATATGAAGAACGATCGCCTTCCTCAAATAGCACATGCCCATCTTGCCTTTGCAGATTATCTAGAGGACGGAGTGAATGATGAGAGATGCATTCAACTAGCCCAGCTTCACTCTGCAGCCGTTGACTACAACAAAAGCGGCATACCGGCCAACATGACAAGAGACTTGGTTCCAAGAAAATGGCCACACTTTATGGAGAAAAAGTACAAGCCGAAAGAAGCGCAGTATCAATCCAAGAAAATACTCGGTCAAATATATGATATTGTTGAGCGCGTTGAGTTTCGACCGAAGCTTGAAGCCCCTTTCGACGAACGTATCCTTAACTGCGATATTTCTGTCAGCGAGGAGATGGTACTGGCTGCAAAGAAATTGAAAGGTCTGTATGATGCTGACATGCGGAGAATCATGGCTCAGCATGAAATCAAAACTGAGTTTGAGGTTTGGTCGACCTTTGTCTTAGGTCATGCGAACATGAGCAAGGACTATAAATTCCACGAAGAGCTGGGCCAGATATCATCTGCTCTGCGTGAAAGATTCTTGTCAATGTGTCAAGATGAGGCTGGTGGAAGAGATTTCCAGCATCTTGCACCATTGGCTGTCGCAATGTATAGAGTGACAGCTCAAGATGTAGCAGAGGCTTTGGGCAAAGAAGACTCCTCCAAGGGACACGATATCGGCAATGCGATTAAGAAGGAATATAAGCACCTCAGAAATGACCAGATACCTCTCATTAGTTTCCCCTGGGTACTCCAGCCCGTTCTTGGAAAAATTGCCAATCGGCACTTTGATGACACAGGAATTATAGAGGGTGCAGGCAAACTTGCAACGTGGTCTTCAGTTGCCTATGAACAATCGAGAATTCGTCGAATCAATGGCATTAGGGGTATTAATGATGCTCCTCGCGACGTTGAGACAGCTGGAGGTATCCAGCATGCAGGAGAAGTGCTTGAACTCTTCCAGGAAGACTTGGGCTTTGATCCCTTCGATGGGCTTGGAGACGCCTTTGACCAACTGGCCTGCCATCCGAATGAAGACGACAAACCCGCCGTTGACCAAGATTCCCGCTCCAAGGCCAAGTGTGCTATTCCACTATTGGACACGGAGCAATCTGATAGCCTAGTTGAGGTTGATGACGATATATTCACACCCATTACCCCATGCACAATTGACTCAAGCCGACGCGGGTCAGTTCCAATTGAGGAGCAATCAAGCTTGCTCGATATCAGCAACGAGAACATTGAAACCGAAACTCGGAAAAACGACAACACAGAAACAAAGCGCCCCGTTGCACATTCACAGCCAAAAGAGGGTCAGGAGAATCAACCTCCGCTGCAGAAGAGTGACCTGTTTTCTTCATTCCTCGACGGTTCGACGGGACCCGATGAGATGATCGACGAGGACAAAGAAGAAGTGGAGATGATGGAAGACGACGGGGATGTGGATCCTTCGGCAGTCAATCAACTGGAGATGCTCCTTAACATCTAGCCTAGAAACTTGAACTTCTTTTATGTGATTCATAGCATTTTGAACTTGCGACGGCGTAACGTTCTTATGGGACCAGGGCGGAGACATTTATTGATTTGCAAGATATGGCGGTGCATTACCTTGATTGATACCCAGCTAGATCCCTATTAACTAGTACAACGAGGCTCAAATCCCAAGCTATTCTATAACTACCTTAAGAAATGCTCTAGCTACGTGCTTCTCTCTCCGCCGTGTGTATATTGATAGGCAGTGTCATTGAAAGTAAGGAACCGGGTACCTTTTTACAACATAAGCGTAAAAAAGGCAGCGGTACGGAGTAGTTAAGCTTGCGTAACTAGTTAGGTCTTTATCTTATCTGATGACTGAGTTTGCGAGGAGGAGGCGACCTTGGTTGATCCCCGAGAGGTTAACTAACTACTAGTATTTCCAGCAAACGGAGTTGAAGTCTGATATCTCGCCCACTCCCTGCTTTCTCACTGGCAAGCGGTACAGCACAGCGAGAAACACTTATTCCGCCGTAAAGTCCGCTTATAGAGAGCTCAAGAAGAAGCATGTCTTCGGCAACAGCACCGTTGTTGGCGCCATACACAGCCCCGCCACCGTATCAGTCTCTACATCTCATAACATCAGTCCTCGGGTCAACGAGCAATTGGCTTGTGCTGAGGTGCCTCTGTGATACTCTACAGATACCTTTGCAGAGAAGAGGTAATCTCGACGGCCTGGAAGACACAGCTGATCTCGAAAGAGACGACTCTGTAAAAAGATCCAAAAAACGAAAGGTCGTGCTTGTCAGTTTCCTTCGAGGTTGGGAATTCTGGAGGGCGGAGGCAAGGAGAGTGGTATGGTCACGACCCTCCTTGATAATAACTTGAATTCCGCTATCAAATCATACTGATATTACTCTATATAGGGTCTTGATTCGAATAAATTATCCAAGGAAGGGAGATTCTCGTTCGTTGATGGAGTAACCAACCTCTTTTCCCCCTCCCCTGCTCTTCAAACGCCGAAGTCTGTGGCGCCAGGAGAAGCTCTGGCGGCCTCCACTCGCGCTAGAAAGAGCTCGATATCTTCACCTTCTTTTCCATTACCTGATAGAACTCCTCCGAAGTCGTCATCACAGGCTGCCCGTGCCCCCAAGCCGGGACCAATCTCATTTTCTGGCCGGGCCAACCCATTACTTGCACGCCCGGCACCCCCAACACCACCTATTTCTTCTGCTCCTCCTACGGCATTTGCTACGCCAGAGACTTCTGCTAGAAATGATAACCGCTATAGCCAGAACATACGGATGCTACACTGGGCACCATCTGCGGGAAATTCTGGTGGCTTGGACGGGGTGGAGAAGGTCATTACCTCTGCTATAGCAGACACCTGCAAGGGGCAGGAAACCCCGGACCAGGTTGGTGATAATGATGTGCTCCTTGTCCTCGACCAGCCGGATTTCCTCCTCGCATCCACGGGCCCCAGCATGCAAGTCGGTTCCACCGAGATGGGCGAATTGATAATGGGATTGAGACGTGTATGTTGGGCTACTCAAATTGTCTGTGTCGTGCTTGATGGTTACTAACTCGATGTACGTAGCTTGTACATTCTACAATTATCACCGTGGCGGCTGATTCGCCGCTTATGCACAGTAGCCAACAACCCACACCACTAGAAATAGAACATTCAGCGTTGGTAGTGTCACTTGCTCACCAGGCACAAATGGTTATGCAGCTGAGAGGACTTGACACTGGCGTGGCAAGAGACGTGAGTGGAGTGTTACGGGTGAGTAAAGGCGGAGCGTTAGCGGATACAGACACCCTTAAGAACGAGGAGAATGGCGATACTTGGGAGGAGAAAGAGGTCTTATACTTTGTCCAAAGTGATGGATCTGTGAAAGTATTTGGACGCGGCGAATAGAGACTTCCCCGAATATACCCATAGCGGAAAATAACGAAGCGCCTTTTGTGTTTCCTCTCTCCTCTCCTTCTTCTTCGTTGTTTTTTTTTTTTTTTTTTTTCCCCTTGGAATCATTTTCATTGACATCTCTACAGCATAACGCAGCTTTCAACATTTCAAGAGCCGTGAAAACGTTTGTAAAGCCACGAGCTCATTAATCGACAGAAGACTTGATGATAGTTTATTGAAAGCGGGAAGAGAATTCCCATGCAAGCCTGCCATTTTCATTTCCATAGTTTGCTCCAGTCCATGAAATCCGTTAATTTTTGTTATATTATGTTTGGGTATGACACAAGAGAAGTTGATTTTTCCTTCTAATTCCCATTCAACACACATAATAAAATGTCAAATGGTGTCATGGATGAAAAACAAGTCCCATTCCGCTCGCAGGCTACCCTTTTGAAATAAGAGGGTTTCGCCACAACTTATCGAACTCCGGAAGGAAAGAGAGGGGGAGGAAAATAAAGGAGGTGTTTGATTGTCTATGCCTTCTCTGGGCCACGGGCGCCCTTGGGAGCTCCGGTCTGGAAACCGTTCTTGAACTTGCGGTCGACGGACTTAAGGTAACGCATGCGGCCGGTACCGGTGGTTCTTCGTCGAAGGGCCTTCTGACTCCAGTTATCTGCAGAGTAGTATGCCATTTAAGTAAACACTCGCCAATATTACCTCCCGGACGCAACGGAATCCTCGTTTGAGGATATATGATTCCAGTTGGGGATACATACATTTGCGCATCTTGGCAGCTGGGTAACCGCACGAAGCGCATGTGTGCTTCTGGATGTGGAGGGATCGCAGGCCTATATGTTCCATCCGCTGTTAGGTTCTTCTGTTTCCTCATTGTCGCAATCCTAGCATCCCATCCTATTTCCCTGGCGGAAGGTTTGGGCGCCTTAACATTCGTTTGACATTGGGATATCACTAACCGCACCGTCTGCACAGAGTGTGCGACTTGTTGTGGCGCTTTCCGAAGCTGGAGGTTCCCTTAGCTGTTCGAAGTAGTCAGTATCGCACTCATCGTTATCGTCGTCTATTGCATATGGATAATTTTCGAGAATTTTCGGTTCACGCGAGGATGGAGGAAGCCGTACTCATCTTGAATCAGGAACTGTAAAGCCGGTGATATGTTAGCAATTCCTCTGGTCATGGAATATACGCGTAACTGGCAGCAAGAATTCCCATACCTTCAATGGTGCGTCTGGAAGCTCTGATATGTCGTCGTCGCTGGTTTGAGATTGCAGTTCCGCTTTGAAGATTCGACTAAGCGAATTTGTTGTGTGAGGGTTAAAGCCCTCGCACGTGATGCTTAGTAATAACTTTCACGGGAAACGTTAAAACTATAATCCGAGTAATTATGTAATCATTCATAGACTTGAACTCTATCTCTATCTAGGTGTGGAATAATATGAGAGGAATGAACAGAAGAGTATATAGAAGGTAGATGAAGATGCATGCAAATGACATATTCGCTGAAACGCTGGCAATATATAAATACAAATTATTGAATCAACTCATCAGAGAGTTATGAGACCAGCTCGTCTTTGCCAAGAAAAGCTGCCATGGGATCCGCGACAGCAGTTCGAGCCTTCTTGTATGCCTCTAGCTCCTCTTCTGTAACGCCCATTTCAAGCTCATGGCGGCTCCGTTTCTTTTGTGCGTTGGAAGCGGGTTTGTTTCGGCCCTCGTCTGCGCTCTTATCTTCCATTGTATCTTTAGCGGGAGCTTGTTTTTGGTCGTCATCTCCTGCTTCTATCTGAAGCATATTCTGGGCCTGCTCGAACGCCTCTATTCCTTCTTTTCCGGTACAATAGCTGTTCTTCACCGTAGAATGGCAGCAGGCATATCCCCATGTGAAATTTGACCACCAACTGCCCCAGACGGAAGCGTGGTTATTGATGAGTACATTCTCTGCGTACTTCGATTTAGCAGCAGGTTTAGGCTCCCCCTTGATTGCTCCCGTTTCATCGTATTCGACAAATCTTTCGTTTTCAATGACCGCCATGTCACGCAAAGGACCTGCCTGCAAATGTTCTCCCCCACCATATTTCTCCAATAATGCCTTCTTATCCGCCGCCTTCTTAGCATCCATTTCAGCCTTCTGCTTCTTCCTATAGTACTCTCCGGATGTAGGATTGGCTTGCAGATGCTGTCGGTTAGCATCTCCTCGCTCTTGTGTTTCCCAGGCGTATCTCTGTGCTTTTTCAAATTCTTGAGCGTCACCAGAAGCTCGCATAAAGTTCTCTTCCGCGACCAGCGCGGCTACTTGATCCGACTGTGCACCCATATCAACCATAGATCGAGTCTTCGGGTCGTACTTTGCCGAGTCAAGGTCCAGGTTAAGCAGATACTTCGCTGTATCTTCTCGTATTCGTAGATTCCGGGTTCCTTTGCCCTGCTGTCGACCCATTTCTGACTCTTCAGCATATTTTGCTTCTGATGTGCCATCACCATCGCCGTCAACGTCATCATCGCCATCTTCTCCCGGGGCCTTCTGTTCTTTGGATGCATTGTCCTTTGCTTTCCTCTTCAGGGCCTCCAGCTCTTCATATTCTTCCACGACATTTTGGTACTCCTTTGCGTCGTAGCCGTTCCACCGATCTCGTTTGGCATCCCACCCCAACTCCACCTTCTGTATATGCTCATCTGCTTGAATATCTTTGCCAGTCCATTTAGCACCATGCTTTCTCGGCCTGCTCAAACACTCCTTGGCCTTATGTGTCATTGCGCCGCAGTTTTCACAGGCACCTTTCCGGTATTTGGTGGCTGCTGGGCCGACGCGCTTCCCTCGATCATACCATTTTTGATCTTCCTTTTCCTTGTGGAGACGCTGATGCTCGAGGTAGTCGTTGGCGGAGGAGTCGTCGTCAACGTAGAAGGGCTTTTTAGAGATGAACGATGGGATATATTCGTTGCGCTCCTTATTCGCAACATCGGTAGGTCGCCGTGACATTTTGATGGTAATATCGTATATGTAACTATCACAAAGGTCAAATAATTGAGTCAAGCAAAAGCGCTCTCACTATCGGATCTGATATCTTGCCTTCTTCAAGCTCAAGCCGTGAAGGATATCTCGGTGTTGGAAAAAAGTTAGAGTCACGTGAGTGGCGCTAGGCCGCGGCTTTCTCGCGTCTTCAATTTAACCAGACATCAACCTTCGGATTTGCGACTTTGGACTCGAGACTCGCTAACAGGCTTTCTCTTTGGTGAATTTGCTTCTATTGGTGGTATAGTACCTAATGATAATGCCTTTGGCATTTATCTGTGTAATTTATTTATTGAATTCCAATGCTATCACGTCAATACCTGGCTAATGCCGGCCTTTCGCGTCCTGCTCAACTGTGTGGACCACTACCAGGCCACCCCGACAGAACTTGACCCTCAGTTTACATCCGATAATAATGATCCCCAACTAAGATCAGGGTCCATAAAAGTCCCAGTAATCCGGGTTTTTGGTGCCACTGAGACCGGACAGAAGGTATGTGCTCATATACATGGAGCATTACCTTACCTATACCTTGAGTATAAGGGGCCCTTGGATCCCGCGGAAGGTCAGGAATATATTCTCTCCTACAGGTCCTAGTCAGCTAAACATCGAATAGTGAACGCTGCTATCCGAAGTTTACATGCATCTATCGATCATGCGCTTGCCCTTAGCTACAGGCGAAACCCTTCTGACCATTCGGCAGCATTCGTTGCTTATATATCACTGGTCAAGGGTATTCCATTCTATGGCTATTATGTAGGATATCGGTATTATTTCAAAGTATATTTACTGAACCCACTACATATGACACGGCTTGCAGACCTTCTTCTCCAGGGTGCTGTAATGAAACGAGCTTTGCAACCATACGAAAGCCATCTGCAGTTCATTCCTCAATGGATGTGTGATTACAGTTTACACGGATGCGCTTATATTAATTGTTCCAAAGTCAAATTCCGCCCCCCAGTGCCATCTCACATCAGTCTCGAAAACCCGGACCATCTTTGGCATGACGAATCGATTCCTCAAAGGGATATATCTGACCCCAGTGAATTTCCTAGGCAAAGCCACTGTGCCATAGAAGTGGATATCCACGTTCAGGATATATTGAATCGCCATGAAATTAGGCAACGAGAAATACACCATGATTTTGTGGTAGAATCTAATCAAGGATTTATCACAGAAAAGCTGGTGCCAAGCTTAAGGGTTCTCTGGAAGGACGAGGAGAGGAGAAGAAAAGCTAAACTTGGCTTAACCGGATCTGAAGGTACTCCATTTTCACAAAAGGACCTGGCTTCAATGTCATCAAACCCTCACCAAACACATTCAGGTGGTTGGATACATGAAAAGGAGTTCCGTGAACAAATAGATGCTATTGTGGCAGAAGAGAGACGAAAAAGGGATAATTCCCCTACAAGGAGCGATTTTGTTCGCTATCCCGAATTTCATGAGTCGGTTAAGACTGCCTTGGAAAGTGTCCAGGAGTTATATCCACAAAATTTGCTGAGTTCGCAAGCAGATGCTATCCAATCTCAGATCAGCACCGAAGCCAACAATGGCAGTGTTGAAGTTGACGAAAACCGTATTGACTCTTTCGGAGTGGATACATTTTTTGATACCGGTGATATAGACGACTCTTTTGCCCGGGACCGCCAGGAATTAGACGATGTGATAGGCAGGAAACTAGCATCAAACACAAACCAACCAAACAAGAGTGAGCCGTTGGATCCCAACATTTTCTTGCAGTCTTCCCAGCTTGAAGAAGTTGGTATCAAAAGAGCTTCAGACCCAATAAACAGCGAAAGTGATTTGTTTGAAATTGATCCTGAGTTTTTGACTCTAATTGACTCTAAGCTCAGAAAACGAGACCGTAATGAGGAGTCTTCCCCCGAAGTGTCGAGAGACAAGAAGGTCAAAGTGACTGAAATACCCCAGACGCGATCATCGTTAAAGGCTAAATTCCATGTGTCCATGGCTGGGTCGGCACAGGAAACGAGCATAGGAAAAGGCGTCTCTTCTAGAAGTGATTCTCCCGCTTCCTCACAGAAGCCGAGAGCCTCTGGCGGAGATAACCAGCGTCTCCCTTTTCCAGTTGTTAAAGACTCCGCCAATGCAGCTACGGTACTGAGGCTGAGCCAACAAAACCTGCAGACAAAGAAAACGCAGCAAATCTTCATAAAAGAAGGTTTTCTGCCTGAAGGGAGTACCTCTCAGCCTAATATCATGAATTCCCCAAACGATCCAAAAGTTGAACCTGCTGCTACCAATTCCCAGGACGGTTCAGAAAACATCACGTCATACCAACCACCCAAAGCTAGCAAGGTGTATTGTTTTACTCAGCAATGTCCGTTACCCTCATTAGTGCGTGAAACTATATCAGATAACTCAAGACCAAGCGTCATCTACCAAGGTGCTTATTACGGTAATGAGAGTGACGTCCTTGAGCGAGCACTTGAGTATGCTGGCAAAGAATTCAAGCTTGAAAGTAATAGCCTGCCGTTTCTTCCAACTTTTGATCCTACAGGAACTTCTCCTGCCATGTTTGGTGAAAAACCCGCGCTTCTGCTGGATCGAACGGCTTTCGAGGACCAGAATAAAAAGCTGCGCAGAGCTTGCAGTTTACGGACTTGGGAATTTGCTGTGAAAGCGCCTATTCAGAGCGACGTTGTCGGTTGGTTTAAAAAGGAAGATATTCAGAAGAAGCGCCTTAAAAATGGTTCCGCTGATACCAATGCGAGGGACGTCCCTGTTTCCCAAATTGATACATCCACTCAGCACAATAAGCATGGCTTCAAATACTCTCAGCGGACCAAATCGTCTGCTGTGCAGCATGAAGCTAACTATATGAGTGTGATGAGTTTAGAGGTCCATGTCAACACCCGCGGTACACTAGCTCCCAACCCTGAAGAGGATGAGGTAGCCTGTGTATTCTGGTCAGTTATATCCGAGGAAGAAGGTCGGCACCGTGGTGTTGTGGTTCTCTCGGAAACCTATGGCCTGTCATCGAAGTTGAAACCTGAGCCCGGAATAGAATTTCAGGAGGATATGTCTGAACTTGATCTTATGAACCGAATTGTGGGAATTGTCAGGTATTATGATCCTGATATATTGACTGGCTATGAGGTTCACAATGGTTCGTGGGGCTATCTGATCGAACGGGCGCGGAAAGGCTATGATTATGATCTGTGTGATGAGTTCTCAAGAGTCAAGTCACAATCCCATGGACGCATTAGTAGAGAGACAGACAGGTGGGGTTTCAACCACACGTCTACCATTCGCGTCACTGGGAGGCATATGATTAATATATGGAGAGCCATGAGAGGAGAACTTAACCTTCTTCAGTACACCATGGAAAATGTGGCTTTCCATTTGCTTCACAAGAGGATCCCCCATTATCCGTTTGAGGATCTTACACGGTGGTTCAAGAGTGACAGACCTAGAGATGTTGCCAAAACTATACAATATTTCTCTTCAAGGGTTGATCTTAACCTTGAAATTCTGGACGCAAACGAGCTGATCTCAAGGACAAGCGAACAAGCTCGAATTCTGGGTATCGATTTTTACTCCGTATTTTCTAGGGGTTCGCAGTTCAAAGTGGAGTCCCTCATGTTCCGCATTGCCAAACCTGAGAATTTCATCTTGATATCCCCAAGTAGAAAGCAGGTTGGTCAGCAAAACGCATTAGAGTGTCTTCCCCTGGTCATGGAACCTCAAAGCGATTTTTATACCAGTCCTTTACTTGTGTTGGATTTTCAATCTCTCTATCCAAGCATCATGATTGCTTATAATTACTGCTACTCAACAAACCTGGGCAGGATTGTCAACTGGCGGGGTCGAAACAAAATGGGTATCACGGACTATGAAAGGGAGCCTGGCCTCCTGCGCTTATTGAAAGATAAGATTAACATTGCGCCGAATGGAATTATATATGTGAAACAAGAGGTTCGGAAATCACTCCTTGCAAAAATGCTTACTGAAATCCTTGAAACTCGGGTCATGGTGAAAAACGGCATGAAAGAGGACAAAGATGATAGGCCTCTGCAACGTTTGCTGAATAACCGACAATTGGCGCTCAAGCTAATTGCCAATGTTACTTATGGCTATACATCCGCCTCTTTTTCGGGGAGAATGCCATGCTCCGAGATCGCGGACAGCATTGTCCAAACAGCTAGAGAGACTCTTGAAAAGGCAATTGCACTCATCCACTCTGTAAAACGATGGGGCGCTGAGGTTGTCTATGGAGATACCGATAGCTTGTTTATCTACCTAAAAGGCCGTACAAGGGCAGAAGCCTTTGACCTTGGGGAAGAGATAGCTAAAACCATAACAGATTCAAATCCACGACCGGTTAAACTAAAGTTTGAGAAGGTCTACCATCCATGCGTGCTTCTTGCCAAGAAAAGGTACGTCGGTTATAAGTATGAGTCTAAAAACCAGGAAAAGCCTGAATTCGATGCCAAGGGTATAGAAACTGTCCGAAGAGATGGGACACCCGCAGAGCAAAAGATTGAGGAGAAGGCATTACGGCTTTTATTTGAAACGTCAGATTTGAGCCGTATCAAGGAGTACTTTCAAAAACAATGTTCCAAAATCATGCGGGGAAAGGTTTCGGTGCAAGATTTCTGCTTTGCGAAGGAGGTTAAATTAGGGACTTATAGTGACAGAGGTGCCCCTCCTCCCGGTGCTCTCATCAGTGCGAAACGAATGCTGGAGGATCCGAGGCTGGAACCGCAGTATGGAGAGCGGGTACCGTATGTGGTCGTTTCGGGGGCTCCAGGCGCGCGACTAATTGATCGCTGTTTTCCACCGGAGGTATTACTGCAGGATCCCCAGCTGGAACTTGATGCAGAATATTATATATCAAAAAACCTGATTCCTCCCTTGGAGCGAATCTTTAACCTCGTCGGCGCCAACGTTCGACAATGGTACGATGAGATGCCAAAGTACCAAAGAATGCGCCGCACAGAAGGAGCCTTGAACACCCCAGCTGGACGATCTGGTCAAGATGGCAATAATTCCATGTTTAAGAAAACGCTGGAGTGCTATATGAGATCATCTTCCTGCGCAGTCTGTCGGAGCAAGCTAAACTCTGAAGAGCAGCGACAACAGAACCAAGCCATATGCAACGTGTGCCTCCGTCAACAACCACACCTTTCGCTTCTTAAGCTTGAATACCGGGTGCACGAGTCCGAAAGAAGGGTAGCCAATTTGCAAGACGTATGTCGTTCTTGTATGGGCGTAGGTTGGGGCGAGGAAATCAAATGCGATAGTAAGGACTGCCCGGTTTTCTACTCTCGGATGAGGCAAGCTTCGGATTTGGGACATACCAGAGCACTGCTCGAACCCATAATTAACGTTCTCAGTGACGTGGCTAATGATGATAACGAACATGATGGACATAACCCCCTGAGTTGGTGATCAGTGTATTCTTAAATACGACTGGTCTAGCAAAAGCCTGCTCCTGCTGCTCGATAACTAGAGTCAGGCAGGGTGCATATCCATGTGTAACTTTGTATATAAATGCGAATACCTTTTTTTGTAATTAATCTAGAACATGCAGCTTGAACGTATCTCCTGAATGTTTGCTTAGATGTCCAGATGCTCCCAAAGAGGCATAGCCGCCAACGCCGAGCCAAGCCTTTCGCTGCTTTTTCGCCCGCAACCAGACTTCATCTCGACGATGGCGTAACAACAGCGGCAGCAATTCTTCCAACTGTCGAATAACCAGACAATCACACGATGGCTCAGAAGGATATGCGAAGAGCAGATCTGGGTACGTTGTCCCTTTTGCTCTCAGTGGCTTGTTTGGTTGATCGGTTGACCAATTGCCATCCCGTTAACGACTAACACGTCCTTCTGCGTCTCAGTGGTACCCTATGAGGCTCCACCGATCAAAAAGACGGACGGTGATATTTCTGGTACGCTTTTTCGTCAATACCTATTGCAGATTACGGCACCTATAGTCCATATCTGAAGAGGTATTCCACGGTTGTCGTCTTTGACTAACACTTTGCCGCAGGTACCATTGCAAGTACCATGCCAATGGCTGCTGTAAGTTCCATCTCAATCCTGCCTAGGCAGCTCGGTCTATACAGCTGTGCTAACCGTTGTAATAACTAGATGTTCACTCGAAACAGGCATGTGTAACCCAGCATGCTGTTTCTTCAAGGAAGTTCAGGCCTTATCCGGGGAACTAACTAATGCGAATGCTCTTGTTCCGTGGTTACAGGATGATCGGGTGGTACGTGCTCATCCTCTCTACCATATACACACATATCCAGTGATCCTCTAGGGCCTTGTCTCCCTCCTCCTCTTCAC